TAAATCTCATCACCTCCCCTCACGCCAATTCGATGCAAATCAGTAAACAAACATTGAAAATAATACCACCAATGTCCCCATTTTTCGTATATCTTGTTACTTTTTTCATTTTACATGTTCGAAAATTTGACTTATTTCCATTGGACACTGCACTGTGCGATGCAGGAACGATTTTCGAGGTAATGACAGTCGTCATGACCATCGGATCTGAGGAGAAAGACCACGCCTGTGGCTCGACCAAGTGACCGCACCGCATTCTTCCGCGGTGAGTTCCATGCGCTCCTCTCATTTTCACCGCCGCAATTTCGGCGTGCCATCGCTCGTTGGAAAGTTCGGTAAATTCAAAAGGAAACACGCGTGTAAAAAGAGGAACGAGGCACATGCCGATAGCAGCGCTGCACCGCAGGCAAGTCGCGTGTCTGTAAGCTCTGAAACGGAATTTGACGGAGCTATGACTCAGGTCTTCTCTTAAAAACGACAGTGAAATGCCTTCACGCACGATGCGTGATGCGTGACTAAAGCACCGGGTGCTCACAAATAAACGAGCCATCGATGATTACCGGCAAGAGTGTGTAGTCGTTGTGCTACACGGTATATTTTGGACAGGACCGAGTATAGTTGAAATAAAAAAAAGTCCCCTCTTCCCTAAAATAAAAATATCAAGCCCAAAGGCTCGGGTGGCGTAAGATACAGCCGTTAAGTAAAAACACCTATGATAAAAATGTTAGTAAATATGATGAGGAGAACCTTTATGCTATTTGTGTTAAAATAAGGTCAAAATGTTCAAATATAGTCGAAATGCATGGAGAAACATTGACGGTTCGGCTGACACACCAAAGACGGCTTTTTCGGGTATCAAATCGGATTTCAATTCAAGCAACCAACATTTTTGTCAGCCATACTAAAACTCGTATTTTTTTGCAGAAAAATTCGATTATCTAATCTTTTATTTTTTATTTTTCTTTAGCATCGAGGTTTCTCTTCCTAGACATAGTCAAATTTGTTTGAAGCCAGCACTAAGTGACACTGGGTGCGTGGACACTCTAAGATATCCGAAGCCGAACGCTGGTGACAATTATTTTTAATTTTTTAGGCAATTTAAGTGGATGGGATGACATCTCTATCATCTTGATGGTCTAGTTCCGGCGGCTGCGTTTGACGTTCAAGGTCACAGATGTCCCCCTCCTCCAGTCACGCCGTATCTCCCAGCCACACCGCGCTACATTGTGGATAGTAAAACACTTAAAATAATTGCACTACGAAATCGTTGCCATACTTTACGTCAGAATTTCCCTATTTTAAGACCAGATGGTATGAGCTGAGAGCCCAGAAAATTATACTGGGTACAGAAGCACGTAGGTATCGACATTTTGAGGAAAAAATACACCGACAAAAATGATTGATTTTTAATAATTGATTTGAAAGATAGGTTGATTGTAAATGCGATGAATTTCTAATTTTAAAGACTGGGTCAACATCATTTCTCTTGAAAACAATGACTGCACCCAAAGGCAAATTGGCCAGGGCCCCAGCCCATTGCGCCCTCCAGGCCGTTTTTTTTCAATCTAGATACTCTATATGTATTTGGAGCCTGGAAGATAGATTTACGGAAGCTTTAAGACTGAAATTTTCGTTGTCATGAGGCCCCTAAATTTTAAGATTTGTTGCCACTAATAACTAGAATTCCGGACACCTGAGGGCTGATCTGGCCTTGACTGCACCCATATTTTTTTTTAAAGTCCAATCCCAAACTCTAAAAAGCTACTAACTTTGAGAGCGCAAAAAATAGGGAAGTGGTGTTCATCTTTGTAATTAAACGTATTTACATAGAAGAGAGCTATACATGCACGAAGAAATCAAATCATAGGGAGGAATAAGCATACAAGTTTTTCACAGCATAGTTTCTTTTGATGTAAAATCATTTTTTGATAAATACGTCCAACTGCAAGCTGTGTATACTTACTTCAAACTAAAGACCCTAGAAACATCATTCTAAAAGTACTACTGGGCAAATGATTCCCTTTCGATGGGAAAGGAAAATTATGTCGAATGCATTAGTAGTATGAAGAGAACCATTAAAAAGATGCCACTCCAAAAGAATAACTTGTCAACAATGGCTCAACGCTCAAATTACTCTCCATCTCGTCGAATGGGAGACGTAAAATAATTCCATTATTACACTCTATTGTTTCGATTTTGTGTCGTCTTTTCAAGGTGAAATCGTTCTTTCCGTTTTCCTCCTCTGCCCAGAAGAGAGCTAATTGCACGAAAGAGATGTATGGATGATATCATCACAGAAATGCAATCTGCTCGGTCTCCATTCCAAATTTTCTACTCCTACTTTTTATTTGACTCATCGAACAACTGCATGGTTCTTTACGTGGTATTTATGGATGGCTAAAGTCGAAAAATGCCTAACTCAGATTACATCTCGAGGTCCAGTGAACAATACCGCCAGACTGACAATTTAGGCAAAAATGAGTTATAGCGGCTATGCTGCAATTTTCACACTAGCCATACCGTTCGCGGATTAGGCTCAGAGGCCGAAAGTTCTGGGCGTAGCACCTAGAGCAATCGAAGCTATACGGCTCCAGCACCCGGTACTTTTGACCTCTGAGCCCGGAACGGAGGGTATGTCTATAGAGCCCGTAACTTTTTTTCAGTGCAGTATAAAATGCGTGAACCGATTATTTTAATAACTTTCCAATTCTGTTGGAAAGCGCTTCAATGACACTGTAATGGGCGAAAAAATTGCAAATCTAATCTTAAAATTACAAAAATGGCGAAGTTTTCTCTTCTTTCTGCAAAATTGTCGGTTTGCGAATAGACTGTATTGTTCATTAGCCATCGATCAAAAATATTAAACGATTTAATGAATATCTCTTCATAGATGTTTGCCGAGTTTTTTTTTTTCGTTTGCATCAATACCACGTAAAAGAATCTGTCACACTGTCGCGAAGCACCGCCGACTAAAAGTGCGAAGCGAGCTTTGGGGTTAGTCCCCGGTGTGGCTAGGGGACGTACCCCTCATAGTCTAGGAAAACGAGTGTTTACATTTATAAAAAGACAGCCAGCCACACATCAGGGTCAAATGAGAGTATGCAAAATTGCGAGATGTATAAGCGTTGAGAGGAGCTCAAATTCGCCCGAGAACTGATTTACTTGGTTGGTAATTCTTAAGTCGATGGAGCAAAATTAGATTTAATGACATTTTTTCTTTCCTCTTTCTTTTTCGGTGTCTGGTATGAAACAATTAATTTAGAGTCTTCTCGAGCTAAGGTCCTAATGAAATAATGAAAGATAAAATGAAGATGATCACAAATGGCCAGTAGTTAAACCAGTAGGCCAGTAGTAAGTTCAGAAAAAAAATTTGAACATTTATCTGGCGGATCGATGCTAACGAGCCGATTCCATGTGCCACTGTATGCCGTTTCCCGTACCAGACGACGTACAGAAAGCGAAAAGTATTTATTGTTCTCGCATGTATTATTTAGCGGCTTTGCGCTGGTCTAAAACAACTCTCGTACAATGAAGAAAAAGTGAGTCGTAAAGAGAAATTTTTGAAAATAAGCGTATAATGAACCTGGGTCCGGCGAAAACGATGGCAATATACCCACCGCAGCGCTATGTCCACCTCTCCGAGGTCAAACCGGTATATGGGAGGCACAAGAGGAAGGGGGTCACGGAAGAAAAATGGGGGACAGACATAAGAAAGCTAATGCGAGCTGTGTGAGTGAGTCACTAACTACAATCAGCTACAGACAACTTTTTCCTATTCTTGCGTAGATGAATGGTATAGACTATGTTAGAAGTGACGTCACTAAGATCCTGAATGAGTGAGAGCTCCAAGAAGGTTCATCTTTGACCCCACCCTTGATGGACTTTCTGCGACCTCAGAAAATATTCTGGAGGCAATTGAGTACCTGGGACCTGATTCCTCTGATAAAATGAAAACTGTGAGACCGCCAACTGTCCCAAATGTTAATGATTTAAGTAAATTATGTTAACAGGGCTGCCACAGAATTTAGGAAATGAAATTCCCTGACATTTCTCAGATTTCCCTGACTCATTTTGGGGGAATTCCTTGACGATTGAATCTATGCCATATGGTTGATGAGACAATGTTAAGAATCATTTTCAGACAATTTGACTCGTTCTAATTATTGACTCATTAATTGATTGACTTTATTGGTTCATCCGTACTTTTTTATTGAAAGAAAAGGAAATGCTGAAACAAAGTTACGGGCTACGTAGACATACCGTCCGTTCCGGGCTTGAGGTCAAAATTTCCGGGTGCTGGGGCCGCAGCTTCGATTGCTCCGGGTGCTATACGCCCGAGACGCGGACGATATGTCTATAAAGCCCGTTAATACGGCTTCCAGCATGGCCGGAGTTCTATTTTTTCAGTGAATTCGACTTTCTTAAATGCTTTAAAAAATCATTTATACACTGGAAAAAAACAAATTGGATCTAGAGTCCAGACTCTTAAAAACATCGACAAGAAAAAATACTCTTGATTCAATCAGATTTAAGCTTAAATCAAGAACCCAGCCTCTTAATTTGAGCGGATTTCCTTTTGATTTAAGATAAATCTGATTGAATCAAGAGTATTTTTTCTTGTCAATGTTTTCAAGAGTATGGACTCTAGATCCAATGTGTTTTTTTTCCATTGTATTGTGTGTTCAACTTCCTCTAAATTGTTAAAAGCTAAATTACTCTCAATCCAATCACACACGCCCAAACTTTTGCTTGGATTGCCAACTCTTTCGGGCAGTTCACCAGTCGAAATCACGTTTACAACAGCACCAAACGTGGGAAAACTTACGGAGTTGGGCTGCTTTTCTCGGCCGGTGGTAATTACTGTGAGAAAGACTTAGGGATTCTATGAGAATGATCATATAATTAGACACGAAAGGAGAAGATTTCGGTTAGCGAGCAGTGAATGCGCCGCCGCTGCCGCCGTGCGAGAAACGATTGGAAGTTTGTGTGCAGACGCTTACCGGTGGGTGGTCTCTCTTTCGGGTAACATATTCTGAAGAGTCCTTTGTGCCTCGTGTAGAAGTAGTATTTAGAGTTTATTTGTTCCATCAGCGATTCCTGACCTCCCTTCCTCGCGATATTCTGTAACAAAGTAACAAGAACATGGATTAGAAATTGTGGTGCTGCAGAGTACTCAAAGGGATTATAGACCAACATATTTCTCTCATCTTAAGCAAAACGTGGAGATCATTGATTGCTTAGTAAATTTATTTACGGATGCTTTACATGACACATACACCCTCATTGGTCATACATACGAAACACATACATACACATTGGTCATTAGAGCCTCAGAAAATAGAGCAGTGGCGTGGCGTCCATAGGTTCGCAGTGTTCGCCGAACACCCTTAAATATTTTGAAACAATTAATAAATTATGGCTAAGAATGTGGGAAGAAATACAGAATACAGAATGGTAGATCGCAAATAAGTATCGGGCGCTTGGCTTCCGACAGAGGCATGTGGCGCGGCGGAGAGAGAAAATCCTGTGACGCGTGGTCCGCACCGGCTACCGAACCTGGATGATCTGCGAACGGTGAGGAGAGAGAACCTGGGTGCAATGATGAAGGGGCAAAGGGTACACGAGAGAGGAGAGGCACCGGCGCGCGGCGCAGAGCGGAGCTTGAACATTGGGTTCGGAGACGAGTGCGGACCGCGCTCGCGGAGGGAACACAGCAGAGAGAAAAGGGAGGGGAAAAGAACGAGGGAGGAGAGCCGCTCATCAGTCCAGCTGTTTCCTATAGCAGTGGTCCGCAGGGGTTTGCGAACCGCCGAATTTCCTCTATGCCGCGATTCGTCCTCCGCTTCCCCCCCTGCGCCTGCGGGCCGCATCTCCCAGTTTCCCAGTCTCCCTCTCCCACCTCCCTCTGCAGGTGCGTGTTGCGAAAATACGTTATCATTTAACAAAATAAATTATAGGAAAACGATCGGTAAAAAGAACAAAATTTCAATGACAATTTACCGGCACAATTTTCACCAGAAAAGGTTAAAATCGTGTTCTTGCGGCTACATTTTTTAGGAAGTTTCCGGGGGAGGCCCCCCGAACCCCCCTTTAAGAAAAAGGAGTGCACCTTTCTGACCCCCCTCCCCTAAAGTTAACACTCCTACCGAACGCCTACCGGATATAGTCACGCCACGCCACTGAACAGAGACCAATAGAAATGTGAAAAAGAGGAAAGAATAATTTACAACTGGAGATTAACTTGTTTCAAAAAGGAGGGATTTGATGGATTTAGTAGGTATCTTGTGCTTAAACTTCTGTGAAAAAAACGATAAATATTCAATTCAATAGGACTTTTTCAGACTCCATGACAATTCACCTCTGAAATGAGCTATGTACGGAGAAAATTGGGCGGTCGTCATATCACGACCAGCCGCTAGTCGTGACGACTGTCCTATTTTTTTCAGCGTAAGCAAACTTTGATGGATATTTGGACGTATTTATGCGAAAAGGAGATATGTGGAAGTGGAAAGATGGGGTGTGCTCGTTAGTGGTCGGGCCATAAGAATGAATGGGGAATATTGTGCGCCAGTGACGTCAGCGGCAGTGAGTGCGCACTCTAACGGCGGGGAGATGGTCGTCGGGGCGCTGTAACTCGTGAGCCCTGTCCACAACGCTCTCTTGCCATGCCCGCGGCTCATGAGTTAGCATATTTTGCCGCTTAGCTCCTTTTGATTTAATGTCAAATCCCGCTTTTCAATTTTCTCAAAAGGAGCTATATCCACTTTTACATTGTTTCTTATGACCCAACTAACGAGCACACCCCATCTTTCCACTTGCACATATCTCCTTTTAGCATAAATACGTCCATTTTTGCCTAGAAGTAAAATTTTCCTGTTGATATCATTCATTAAGCTGAGAAAAGTACACATTCCTTCAGATCTGATTTTTTTAAATCCGGCCTCAAAAGCGATGTGGAACCCTTAAAACAGATTAATCAATCGGACTACATTTCGCGATGAAGAATACTATTTCTAACTCGTCATTTCAAGCACTTATCCGCGTAGGGCATTTTAGTGGCACACGTTTCATTTCTGAAAAATGCCAAAAATAGTACTAGACCGGAGAGATATGCTCTACGAACATTTATACATGCACACATAGTGCCTAAAAATGTCAAACGTCATGAAAAATGAACGTGGATATAATTTCGAGAAGGTATATTCCGAGAGACTTAAACGCATGGGTAGAAAAGTTGGCTGCTCGTTTTAACATTTGGACAGCTGACTTCGAACCTCTTTGACTTCAGCTGAGGTTTGGTTTAACATTTTTTGATATTACACAGCTCTACATTGCAAAATGCAATCAAAGCAGAGAACCTAATCTAACGCTGTATAAGCCTTCGGACGTTGCCGAATTTCCCTAGTTCAGACACGAATTTTCCACGAAGCCTGTGAATAGTCAGGTGGTCAGGTTTCAGATCTTCCTCCTATCTGTCACAGAAAATTATTCACAACTTTATCTATAAACTGTTTGAAAGCTTCAAGGAAAATATACTCGAAACTTTCTTTAATAATAAATATTTATCGCAGAAAATGCGACAACATTCAATTGTTCATACAGCATTTTTGCTAAGCACGGCAGCATTTTCATCAAAGGTCGCCACCATTTTCTAGGTATCTAATTTTCATCCAAGTCACTTTTTTTACAAGATGGAGAACTCAAAATTAGATTTTGAAGGTCAGAAACTAACACGGTCGTACACTGAAAAAAAANAAAAAAAAAAAAAAAAAAAAAAAAAAAAAAAAAAAAAACACACATTGGATCTGGAGTCCAGACTCTTAAAAACATCGACAAGAAAAAACTCTTGATTCAATCGGATTTTTGCTTAGATCAAGAAACAAGCCTCTTAATTTGAGCGGATTTCCTTTTGATTTAAGCTTAAATCTGATTGAATCAAGAGTATTTTTTCTTGTCAATATTCTCAAGAGTCTGGACTCTAGATCCAATGTGTTTTTTTTCCAGTGCAACGGAAATCATTAAACCGCAACTTTGTACAGGACTGGTTTCAAATCAAACCCGTCAACCGGGTGAAAATTTTTACATAGAGTGTAAAAAATGTCACCAGGTGCGGCTGAAGCATCATCGGAAGTGCAACGGAGCCGCTGTAGTGACAAAGGCGTGGCGTAAATGATCGATTATCGATATATCCCCGTTTGAAGTTGTGGTAAAGAATCGATTATTAAGGTGTTCGCTGTGAACACCCTGTTTATCGATCCTTTTCCATAGGTTTAAACATCAGATCAATCGATATATCGCAAAGCACGCCACGCGATTGCGCGGCGGATCGTACATCATCGCGAACAGGGTGTGAAGTTGCGGAGATGCGAGCTTTCACGCTGAATCATGATGCCGTCTGCTCGAGCGCCGCTCGCGTGTTCGTGTCCACCGGCGACGACTCGTCGCTCCTCGTCGTGAAGACATAATTGTATTTTGGGACGAGCCCTGTCGCCCGTATGAAACCATGCTTGTCAAGGCGCGAGATGAAATAGAGATGCGGCCTCATGTCTGAGGGAGTGACAACTTTGACTCGAGATCGAGACGCGGTGCGGAGATGGAGGTTGGGCTTCGGCATGCCGCAGCCACGCCGATGTCCAGGTGTGGTGGAAATGCTCGCTGACGACAGCCAGAAACTTCGCCGGAGTGAAAGTCAACGACTGTGAAGCATGGTGCATGCACTACTCAAAACTCTATGAGCCACGGAGCTTACAATTAGCTACTTTGCCGTGTCACCAGAGAGAGAACAGTAACGACGGAATTTATAAAATTGATTCTTTAAAATTCCTCATTTTTAAATTTTAATGAGCTGAATGGAGATGTTGCATGTGTGAGGAATTTGCGATTTGACTATTGATTCTTATGTAAAAGTTCGCGAGAAACACGATGGTGCTACTGGTTTTTTCTGAAATCAACTACCAAGCTCAAAAAAAGCTCTCAAGTTGAGGCCAAAATGGAGGGGATATCCCACGCTATCCTATGAGTCCATCTCTACATCAAGACAAACTCTCCATGCAAAGATAGAGAGCAAATACATTAGCAGGGTTGCCGTGTTTTCAGTTTTGGAGTCCCCAAATAAAGTGGCAGCCCTGTCAATGTATATGCTCCCTATCTTTGCATGGAGAGTTTGTCTTCATGTAGACGTGGACTCTCAGGGTAGCGTGGGATATCCCCTCCATTTTGGCCTCAACTTGAGAGCTTTTTTTGAGCTTGGGAGTTGATTTCAGAGAAAACCAGTGGCACCATCGTGTTTCTCGCGAACTTTTACATGAGAATCAATAGTCAAATCGCAAATTCCTCACACATGCAACATCTCCATTAGCTACTTTGCCGTGTTACCAAAGAGAGACCAGTAACGACGGAATGTATCAAATTGATTCTTTAAAATTCCTCCTTTCTAATTTTAATGAGCTGAATTATTTCGCTAAAATAGAATAACAAAATGACATTTGGCAGATACACCTGCGAGTTGCAAGCGCTTTTTGAAAGTGAAAGTAGGATTTTGATCGCTCGACGTCGAGCTATCGAAATCCTCCTTGCCTATTGGTGTTTCCCTTTCAACAATCGCTTATGATTCGCAGGTGTACATGGGCCTTTAAATTTGACTTTTCCGACATATCGATGGCCAGATTGCGGAACCACAAAACTCTGTCTGCAATGTTGCAGACTCACTGTCATACTTTATTTTTTCCTTGGAGAACGAGTCAAAGTAATTTCTTGAAAACTTCCTTGAGTTTTCTTCTCTAGAAGTAGAAAAGGTATTCTGCATTGATTTCAAGCTATGAAATTGGCGTCTTTCTCTCCGAAAAAATAAAATAGGAGCGGAAATTTTGAAACTTTACAATAGAGATACACCGTTTCCCAATTTAGCCACCGATATTCGGTTTATTGTTAGTTTCACTGGATCATTCGTCAAATCCCCTCGTTCTACAACCAATATTAACGGCGATATCGCCATGATTTGAGCCGACCTCCAAAAACGCCTTCATTTCCCCAGAATACCTCCCGCATATCTGTAAAGTTGATATAGTTGCATGCTCCATCTTTATATAAGAAAATACACCGCGTTTGTCTCCTCTTCTGTG